GGCCCCCCCCCCCCCCCCTCTTATATGGGGAAAGAAATTACGTTTACCAACTGTCTTGGTCATTCCTAGCTACAGTATCCGACCTCGATCCATGTGCCACTTGTCACGTCAATGATTTTTGATTGATGGAACAGGTCAGTAGCATAATGATTACCGCAGGTTTACCGCCTACTCTAGCTTATCTTCCTCCCCATTGGCTGTTTTGGGCAGTTGGAAGACAAATCATTTGCCCTTGAATGATTGCTAATCAGTTAGATAGATACCCTTCTTAAGCATTCAATTAGCCGAACACATAAGGTAAGCTCAATTGAAGCAAAGGGCCAAACTCATTTGGTGTGATCTGCTGGTGTATGGTGGTCAAACTCATCCCTCCGAGGTGGACACATGGCTGGTGACATCACACGTGGATCAAGTTCAAGTGGGTCCTTTAATCCGATGTCATAGATTGGAGGCCGACATTATCTATCCTAGAGCCTGTTTGAGCCCTATTTTTATTGAAGAATGCATTTTGGAATGGTAGATTGATGAAAAATGTGTGGTTAAAAAATAAGAAAAAGTTTTGTGTTAGCGTGTAATATTATCTTATTGAAAAATGTGTGATTGAAAAGAAGAGTGAGAAAAATGTGTTTTGGAAATAGCAGAGATCAAACAAGGGCCTATATTATTGTCTCATGGGTACTCTAAATGAGGAAAAAGTGCCACTCACATAAAATTCCTGATAAATATAATTTCGGTTCAAAAAGGAAACCTAGACATAAGTTCCTTAATATTAGCTTTGGAGCACATAATTTCCACTACGCTTCCAGATCATCAGAACAAAGGTATATACTATAACATTATACCAAAAAACTCCACTGAAATAAGATTCCCATTAATAATATTCGCGATTCCTAATGGAAACCTTAATGCAAGTTTCTATCCGATGATCAGCCATATCCATATAGAATTGCTTTGGAACATATGATTTTATTAGGTTTCCAGGTAATCATAACAAGCGTATAAATACTACAATATGTAACATGGGCTGTCAACAATCTTGTACACACGAGAAATCATGAAGCCCAACAAACCAATGAGATAAGACTATAAACTTCTATTGCGATTTCTTCAAATTATAAACAGATTTTTTTCTTGAGGGGGAAGTGGAGGGAGAGAGTTACCAACTGGGACAAAGTGAATTGATACATTCTAAACATACCTGCAGATAAAAATTTGAAAAATATGAAGAGACTTTGTTGAGAGATTATAAATAGCACGGTCAATATGTTCTTTCCCAAACAAGTACACTACTGGATAACCGAGAAGCCACCTGCAGCAATGGTATATACAGCATTTTAAAAGGTGATTGAGAATGAATACCAGACAAGATTGACACAAAAGCATTTGTAACACAAACACACTACAGGCATTTATTAGGTTGGCTTGACTACTCAAAGTTGAACCATGTAAGTATAAGAGGTTTAATAATGTGGGTGGTTGAGGATCTATTATTCCACTAAAAGACAACAATGTATAGTCAGCCATCCTTGAAGCCAACACAGACATGATTCATGGGGTTTTATTCAAGTTTATTAATGAATGAAAAGAATGTAGTTTAATTTCTCAAGTTGTATCATTCCCCAATTCAATTTGCAAGTAACTGAGTGGTTTTAGTGGACGTGGCTACTGAGAGAGTGGGTCCATGGTAGGCAGCAGTCAACTATTTTCTCCAGGTTTAGAATTGGACTTTTCAAATTTGATTTTAGTACAGATGAGAAAGAAGCGGAAGGAAATTAAGAGGACAGCTCTTCTGTGTGGTGTAATTATTGTTAAATAATGACCTTTTCTTTTCTTTTCCTACCCAATCCATATTTATAACTAAAGAAAAAGAAAAGTAAGTGAAGTGCCACCCATTCCATGCGGAATTTCATTCTAGGTGGAATCGTCCTTAAATTCCTAGACTCCTAGTCATCAGTCATCACACCTTACCAAATGAGAACCTCACTTTCTTAAAATCTCAATAAACCAAACGATAATTACAATTATCCAGTCAAGGTGTAATCCAATTTCAACAAGATGGAAGGTATCAGAAATCTAACAGATTCTTTAAGAAAGTAACCTCTCCCAAGTTCCATATTAACCCGCAAATTAGATGTGGTAGTAAAATATAAAAATTTCAAGGCAAAACAGAACAATGCACATTTGAGGGTAAAAATGGAGAATTACCCATTAAGGGTTGGCACCGTGACCTGACTTATTTGAAGGCAGCAACTGAGATCAATTAACTCAGAAGATGTGGAAGTAACTGGCTCACTAAGAGAGGACCCAGCATTAGCAGTTAAATCTATACCATGATTTTGCAAGGGATCACTATTCAGACCATCAGCAGAAAATACAGAGGCAAACAACTTCTGAGCTGATAGAAGTTCAAGTGCTGCTGAGCTTTTTTCCACTTGAGTTATCATCTGGAATCACAATAAAATAATCTTAGTAAATAAAAAAGGATAAAGAAAAGTATCTCATAGGAATATCCTTAAACTGAAAGAAACCTTTGGAGGATCCTTTTCAAGGTCCACAAAGAGCATTTCGATCTCCAACTTCAGACTTGATTTGATGAAGTCTGCAAGTGCTCTGAAATGTATCAAATAGATCATATCTTCTATAATCATGACCCGCAGATGCTCAAAAATTGAAGACTCCTGAAAGCAGATGACATGTAATGCTAGTGTCAACAACCGATAATCAAACTTCAAGAAAAAAACATTAAAGAGCACTTCGGATCAATACTTCAATCGGAACCATGAGAAATAGTCAAAGAAATAAAAACAAAATTTCAGCAATGACATCTCACAACCGATACTGGTTTCCATTTTCAGGCATATGCAGCAACTTTTTCCTTATCATTTTATGTTCCATGATAGTAACCAAATAAAATGCTATAAACACAACTCTGAATTTAGCCATTAAGCTTCTCCTAGTGGAGCTTAATATCCTAGGCTGGGGAGAAAAGTGATGGCCAACCTAATATATTCCGAGTCATTGACTTGCATATCCTCTGTTATAAAGCACGTCTTGTAATAGTTTTGTGTGCCTTAATTAGCCGACAGAAAGTCGTGCAAGTCGATGGTGAATGATGAATGGATAATCATGCATTTTCTCCAACACATCTTATATTGCATCATTCTCAGTGGCTTTTGTGCACAAATTCAGGATAATAATAGTAACACCGAAATTAGACTAATGCTTGTCAGTAACATGACAATATGCTGGAACGTCTTCATTCTGTCACCTCTGAATGGATTCTGAGTCAAGTTGTCAAGATACTACATTGTAATATCACTAGTCCAGAAGGCTCAGTTGAATTAATTAGGTACAATCCACTTCCTTACCCTTTCATTTGCAATCATATCCTAGGTGCTTCCTCTCTTTTTATAATCACATAGCAATCAAATATGTACAACACACATATATGCCATGACAGAAGTGCACATGTTTCCCATTTTTCTTCTAGGTATAGTGGAGAGTCAGGAAGGTGAAATTCAAACCAAGGATTAGATATGCTAAGCACCTGAAGTGGAAAGAAGTAGAAAGCCAAAAGAATGCACAAATCTAGTCTTTAAAATTGTAGATTTAGCAAGAACAGATACGCCCCAGAGAAACTGTAATACCCTTTAATCCTAACAACTACGTCTAGCCAGAATACAAGGCAAACAGTAGTGGAATCAAATTCAGCAAATGTGAAGTCACGACCTATGTCAGATACCAGGTGAATGTCTAAAAATACTCTAGAGTGAACTTCAAGATTAAAAAGCAACAACATGAATAATCGTCAAACTATCTGATTAACCTTATAAAATTTACATTTTCTCCAAAAAAAAATTAATCAGTTAGAAAATTATGTCAGTAAAAATAAGACTCCAAAGACTATATATTCAGACACAGCTGTGTAATAGTTTGCTAAAAAAATAATAATAATAATAATAATAATAATAATAATAAAAATAAAAATAAAAATCTACATAATTTCTATTTCGAAAAGCTGATAAGGAGGCTCAAACCTGTTTGCAGTGTTTGAGAAACGCACAAAGTCGTTCCTGCAGTTCGGGCATCTTACCTCCATAATCTACCATTATAACTGGTCTCGTCTCAGTGCATAAGGCCAAAACATCTGTTTAAAGAAAGTCACTTAATCGTTCATCTTTCTATTAAAAACCACAATTGACCCATCAGTTATAATCCTATCAATAACTGGAAACTAGAATTGGAGTTCATACAAAAACAGTCTACTCCCATAAAATTAATTTCTCCCCATATCTGAACGAATAAGATTAACTAATGAAACCCACAAATTGAACAAAAAATTGAAATTTGAAGGAACCAATAAGTTCCCGTAGAACAAAACTACAATTAATAAATTTGGGAAAATTAAAACAAAAAGAACTAGTTGAAACCTGTCTCAAGACGACGCTTAGAAGGATGCTTGAGTCGCCATTTTATTTGAGAGATTGAACTTTCAAACACTCTCAGTATCTCTTCTAATTCTCCAACCTCCATTCAAATACTTCTAAGGAAATGATTATCGCTGTGTGAAGAGAGTGTGCAGCTACGGGTTGCAGAAAAGGAGGAGACCAAAAGGTTTGGAGTGGGACTAAAGTGAAACAATTTTGTAACTTCGGCAAGAACTTATGCTAAACCAAAGTTCGATACTTGACTGACACATTGTAAAAGTTTAATGCCGAGCGGAGCCATAGATTTTAGAGAGTGTTTGTTAAAAAGCCCATTCAAGCAATCTATTTGGATAAATAACCTTATTTCAATGTTTGTTAGTCAAATAGCCTTCGAATATAAAATACAAAAAATAAATAATATCAAAGGTCCAACACCCCCCACCAAATATCTCTTTCAATCCAATCAAATTCCTCATTTCATCTTCATAAATCATCGACTTGCTTTCCCTGTACTCGCTATTGTAAATTTTTGTTATTCATTACTTCACCCATCTTCTCCAATATTTTGAGCGTTTGAATAATAATTTTGATTTTTATACCATTTACATTGAAATCTTTACTATATTTGAAAAAAAAAATGTATTTTTTTTTTTAGAAATATCGTGTATATTGGTACTTTTATTGTTGAATATAATATGAAATGATATTTTGATTGATTTTGTGTTTACATTTGGTGTATTTTGACATTCCGCAACTATTGAACAATAACGACGTTCCAATCATTATTTTTACTGTAGAATGACTCTACATTCGTATCGTCCATGTAAAACAATAGTACAACCATAAGTATAATATGTGTTTGAAAACTGGGATAATCGCATCACTTGTATGGATCGTGTACCACTGTGCAAGAGACATGAACGATGAAGATAAAACAACACATCTACTATTTTTGTGGTTTATGATATGCTGCTTTTGTAATATTGAAAAATGATGGTGGTGTTATAATGTTCTGTTTTTGTCATTTTGAAATGCTAGCTATTCATAATGTTTGGAACGATTGATGTTGTCAATATCTTAGAATTGATGAAATCATAACTGCAGATATATTGTTATTTTGTTGTTATAAAATATCATTGGTGTCATTTTAAGTATTTCACCGATAAAATATAGAAATGATGTTCAAATATTAAATATTATTAATTTAATAGCAACTAATTTCAAAGACATGATATCAATTATTCATATCGTATTTATATATGTAACGATACTTGTGCCATTTCCACAACAATAACAGCACTTGTGCTTTTCTCTTTTTTCATGTGTGATTAAGAATGAGCATATCTCTCAAATTTTATAAATTTCATGTTCATCTTACAACTTAAATGAGTTCAAATAATTGATTATCGGAGCTCGAATGGGTCATAGGCAATCATACTCGTGTTTATAGATAGTACATTTGCCGTTATGTTGCATAAAAAGTTTAAAACAAGGTTATCCGTTTATATAACTCAAAAGAAAATGGATAAACTTTTGCCAACTAAATTTTCACAATATGGATTGATTTATTTAGTTCTAGAGCAATAAATACCAATATATACAGAAGTAGTTTACGTATACTCCAGATTTTAATTGAAATGTTTCCAATACATGACAATCATGAAAAAATTATGAGTATCTCGTAACGAATCAAAATTCAAAAATGAACAGACCACTTTCTTTCTTTCCTTCACCATTATTCATTCCACCTCATCCTCAATTCAAACCCATAATTAATAAAAATAAAATCTGGTGAAAGATTAAAAAGACCCTCCATATTGGAATGCTAATTCACAAATCCAACATAAGAAAGCTAACTTTCATCTAGGAAACTTACATACAAAAGCATAACACAAAAAATACAAATAAAAATTGACAATTAAGGTTTGAGTAATTTGCACCGTAGAGAACATAAGTGTCTAGGATTGGGGCGGTGGCTCGAAAACAGAGTTGGGATACTGTAGATAGTCCTTGTAGAGCTTGCAATACAGCAACGGTGGTGGGTATGTTACTGTAGGCATTTATAGTAAATTTTAGTACTCCTCTTTCTTGATTTCTCTCAATGCTGACACCAAGCCAATAACTCTGTCGTTGAAGAAGCCCTCGATGCACAAATTTCGAATCTTCGAAGTTTTATTGGATAGAAGATGATGAAAAGGTAAAGAGGAAGACAACTCTAATTTACTTTCAAAATGAAGAATAAGGTTTTACAGTGACGTCGAAGGAGAAATGACGGGTGAAATGAGGAAAATTTGGGGAGATTTTTCTACTTGGCCTGTTACTATTTTTTTTTTTATGAAAATGTCTATATTACCCTTAATAAAATGATTCTTTCTATATTGCAGTATATGTCCTAATCTTTTAAACATTTTATCTTCTGTTAACTCTATTTTGGATATATAAAATCATTTTATGATCTAATAAATAAGAATAATCTGCAATATTCATTTCATATTTTCTAATTAAAGTACTGTATTCTTTAAATGGTAAATTTGTATTTTTTTAATTGAGATATATTATTCTTTATTTTTTCTAACATTCTTTCTAATAAATTATCTAATCTCTCAGTTGTATATCCTGACATTTACCAAAATAATTATCATGCAATTATCCCTGTTATTCTTTTAAGATCTTTAAAAAAAAATTCATTCTAATTTTAGCAAAAATTTAATAGTTTTACTTTAGGTTTGATCTAGACTTGTATTCTTAGAACCGAGTGACCTTCGAGTTCTGAATTTGTAAAATGTTTCCTCCAACGGCCTCCTGCCTTCATGGAATTGTTATTGTTTCAGCTACTTGCTTTTACTGTATCAACTTCTAAAGAATAAAACTCTAGACTTCTGTTAAGAAAAACTCTCTTTTTGCTAAAATAAGAAGAAAACTTTCTATTTGATCTTTCAAGAATCTATGGGAAAAAGATTTAGAAACTCATATTGATATCAAAATATTGAAATTTTATTTCTATTAAGATTGATACAAGACTTTAATTTTGGTACAAGGAGTTTCCAGAAAAACTGGTTTTTAAACTGAGAATAGGCTATTGCTTCCAACTTGAGAATTCAATATAGGATGAGATGATATTCTTCTATCGTAATGTCTCTATTTATACAAATTTTTGAGACTCTATTACATCATTGAATATATCAGCAAGGCACACTTGCCTCTCTATTTTCTTCCTTGGGCCTACATCTTCACATGTTGGTTCAATTTTTCAAAGAGTATCTTTATCTTCAATGTCTTCATATGTAGTATTATTGTCTTTCATACACCTTTGTCAAAAAGGTGCTTTGTCTTCTTCTTTCATTTTTTCACATGCAGTTGGGGCACTCCCTTAGTTGGCAGGATTCTTTTATAGTGGTAGGACATCTTGGAAATTTATATATATTAAATCTTGTAATATAGTCTTTTAAAATTTCTGATTTTGCATATCTTCCATTAGAAGCATCCAATTTTCATATTGGCATAGGCACGAGAATTTTGTATCAAATAAGTTTTTGGCAATGTTGTAGATGACTTTAATTCCAAGTGCTCTTCTATGTCTGATCCATGATTTTGTCACTGTTGGGACTTTTCTATTATTCTCTGTAACATCAATTTGGAAATTGGCTGCAACATATCCAATTGAGATTATGTATTCAACTGGATAGTAAACGACTCCATTATATTCTAGACTGATTGAATAGAATTTTAAAAATATCTTCCTTCCTTTGGCAAATCTGGATACATTCTTAATGAATATGTCATCAAACTTTGAAATTTCAACAAAATCTTTTCCTGGATAAATCAAATCCATGAATTCAAGTCTGTCATGATTTTTATAAATGAAAGGTCACCTCCTTCCATGGCTGTAATTCTAGGGTAAACATTATTTCCTGGAGAAATGAAATATGAATTACTTATTTTTATTTCATAAGTGATTTTGACTATTTCGGCATATTTTTCTTCGTTTGGATCTAAAGAGATTTTATCTTCTTGGTCTATGATGCTGATTGTTTTCATATCTCTTTTATCTCTATTTATTATAACTTTCTTGGTTGATGATACAGAAATAGAATCTCCTTTATTATCAGTTTGTATATTGTTGTCACGTCTGGGTCCGCTGCTGCTTCCAGCTGTCCATGTTAGGTATTGATTTGGAAAACTCATTTCTGAGCTCTTTGGTATATCTGTTTCAAACAGTATATTTTCAGTTGTGCTGCAATAGCATCAACTTGATTTTTGAATTCAATGGCATATTTATGATGTTCAGTGGTGATATTCAACAATATTTTCATATTTGAGTTGAATATCTCTGAGATTGGGATTGCTTCAGAGCTTATATCTTCGGATTCTTCTCTAAGAAAATTTGTCCTTTCTTGTATATGTAGAATAGATCAGTATAACTCCATCGCCTTGATTTTATCCATCAGCAAATTCTATATTTTTGCTGAGAAAATCTGCAAGAAAATTATTAACTCTTTTAATATGGACTATATCAAATTATAAAATGCCAAATAAGCTTGTCATCTATGAAACCTTCTGTATTGTGGTTCTGAGGGTAATTTATTTTTGACTAATCCTGCAACTTGAGAATTATCAGTTTCAACAATAAATTTTTTGGATAATAAAAACAATGAGAACTTTTTTATTTCTCTAATAATTGCTAGTAATTCTTTTTCATGAGTGGTGTAATTTATTTCTACTTGGTTAAATGTTCCACTTGAGTATCTACAAATTTCATTAATATCTGTTTTTAATATTGCTGCCTAATATTTATCTGAGACATCAGTATTAACAATCAAATTATCTTTTTCATCTGGTAGTCTTAATTTTGGTAAATTTTTGCATTCTTCTTTTAATGATTTAACTATTTCTGTATATTTTTCATTCCATCCCTTAGTATTTATTTTTCTAAGTAAAACTTGGATTTTATGTATTTTCTTAGAAAGATTTTCAATAAATCCTTCTGCATAGTTTAAACAACCTAAGAATTTTTGTATTTGTTCTTTGGATTCTAATTTATCGGAAAACTTTCTATCTTTTTGGATATATGTGTTTGTAATTTTATCCCTCTTTTATCTATTGATAATCAAAGAAAGTTCATCTCTTGTTTTTCTATTATAGATTTCTTCTTAGATAATACAATTCCTTCTTTTTTACATTCATTAATAAATTAGATTAAATGATTTCTATGCTCTTCTTTACTATTAGAACACATTAATATATCATCAATATAAACTATTAGAAATTCATTAAACTTTTTAAATATATTATCCATCTTTCTTTGATATATTTGTGGTGCATTTTTCAAACCA